ATGCTTCGAAATTGTAGATTGAAATGTAAGTCAACGCTTTAAAATTCGTGAATTAAACGTGAGGCAACGCTTTGAATTCTGGATTTGGTTTTAAGTTAATGCTTCAGAATTCTCGATTTCATTTTGAATCAATGCTTCGAAATTTTAGATTTAAATGTAAGTCAACGTTTTAAAATTCGTGAATTAAACGTGAGGCAACGCTTTGAATTCTGGATTTAGTTTTAAGTCAACGCTTTGAAATTCTCGATTTCATTTTGAATCAATGCTTCGAAATTTTAGATTTAAATGTAAGTCAACGCTTTAAAATTCGTGAATTAAACGTGAGGCAACGCTTTGAATTTTGGATTTAGTTTTAAGTTAATGCTTCAAGATTCTCGATTTCATTTTGAATCAATGCTTCGAAATTTTAGATTTAAATGTAAGTCAACGCTTTAAAATTCGTGAATTAAACGTGAGGCAACGCTTTGAATTCTGGATTTAGTTTTAAGTTAATGCTTCAAAATTCTTGATTTCAATTTGAGTCAAAGCTTTAAAATTCATAATTTAAATTTAAGTCAACGCTTTGAAATTCGTGAATTAAACGTGAGGCAACGCTTTGAATTCTGGATTTAGTTTTAAGTTAATGCTTCAGAATTCTCGATTTCATTTTGAATCAATGCTTCGAAATTTTAGATTTAAATGTAAGTCAACGCTTTAAAATTCGTGAATTAAACGTGAGGCAACGCTTTGAATTCTGGATTTAGATTTAAGTTAATGCTTCAAAATTCTTGATTTCATTTTGAATCAATGCTTCGAAATTGTAGATTGAAATGTAAGTCAACGCTTTAAAATTCGTGAATTAAACGTGAGGCAACGCTTTGAATTCTGGATTTGGTTTTAAGTTAATGCTTCAGAATTCTCGATTTCATTTTGAATCAATGCTTCGAAATTTTAGATTTAAATGTAAGTCAACGTTTTAAAATTCGTGAATTAAACGTGAGGCAACGCTTTGAATTCTGGATTTAGTTTTAAGTCAACGCTTTGAAATTCTCGATTTCATTTTGAATCAATGCTTCGAAATTTTAGATTTAAATGTAAGTCAACGCTTTAAAATTCGTGAATTAAACGTGAGGCAACGCTTTGAATTTTGGATTTAGTTTTAAGTTAATGCTTCAAGATTCTCGATTTCATTTTGAATCAATGCTTCGAAATTTTAGATTTAAATGTAAGTCAACGCTTTAAAATTCGTGAATTAAACGTGAGGCAACGCTTTGAATTCTGGATTTAGTTTTAAGTTAATGCTTCAAAATTCTTGATTTCAATTTGAGTCAAAGCTTTAAAATTCATAATTTAAATTTAAGTCAACGCTTTGAAATTCGTGAATTAAACGTGGGACAACGCTTTGAATTCTGGATTTAGTTTTAAGTTAATGCTTCGAAATTTTAGATTAAAATGTAAGTCAACGCTTTAAAATTCGTGAATTAAACGTGAGGCAACGCTTTGAATTCTGGATTTAGTTTTAAGTCAACGCTTCAAAATTCTCGATTTCATTTTGAATCAATGCTTCGAAATTTTAGTTTGAAATGTAAGTCAACGCTTTAAAATTCGTGAATTAAACGTGAGGCAACGCTTTGAATTCTGGATTTAGTTTTAAGTTAATGCTTCAGAATTCTCGATTTCATTTTGAATCAATGCTTCGAAATTGTAGATTGAAATGTAAGTCAACGCTTTAAAATTCGTGAATTGAACGTGAGGCAACGCTTTAAATTCTGGATTTGGTTTTAAGTTAATGCTTCAGAATTCTCGATTTCATTTTGAATCAATGCTTCGAAATTTTAGATTTAAATGTAAGTCAACGCTTTAAAATTCGTGAATTAAACGTGAGGCAACGCTTTGAATTCTGGATTTGGTTTTAAGTTAATGCTTCAAAATTCTTGATTTCATTTTGAATCGATGCTTCAAAATTTTAGATTGAAATGTAAGTCAACGTTTTAAAATTCGTGAATTAAACGTGAGGCAACGCTTTGAATTCTGGATTTAGTTTTAAGTTAATGCTTCAAAATTCTTGATTTCAATTTGAGTCGATGCTTTAGTATAAAGATGTTGAAATGTTTAAAATAATCAAAAATCAATAAAAATAATTAGAAATGATCAGAACATTATTTATATAAATCCATATCGTTGTTTAAGGATTGATGTTGTGAAATTTTAAAGTATTCCTGTTATACATCTAGGCACGAAGTACACCATTGAATTATTTCTGCCTTTACTCCATGTCCTACGAGAGCAATTTATTAAATAAATTTACAACCATTTTACTAAACTTAACCTTATTGTGTAAGACATCCATTAAATTGCACTCTAATTAGCTATCACCATGGACTATCCAACAATCTACAGCATCTTTTGCAACAACTTTTCTCATCAACGTTCTCGATAAATTGCATCATTATTTATATATTAAAAAGTGCAGCTAATTAGCTTGAAATATTAACTGTGTACTCCGCCCTCAAGCAATTGATCTCTGTTTATTATTATTTTTTGTAACTCAATACATCAATTAAAATTGAAATAATTAATATGATGATGATGATGATGATTAATTGGTATCCAATTGGTTAGCATTTATTATTGCAACACAAAGAACTTTTTTACGGTAAATGCATAAGACCATTTTTGAAGTTCAGTCAACTCTTAATTAAATTAACACAAAAAATAAAATAAATCACGAAATATATGCAAATTATCACATCAAAAGTCAATTAACAAGTCCATAAAAGCACGAAACAAATAAAATTCCTCAAAATTCATCGACACCAAATGTGACTCATGAAGATATAAAAAAAATGTTGTTTAGCCAATTCCAAACTTCCGTTACGAATGTCAAAATACATGTGCATGTTCAAGAGAACAAAAAGCAATGAAATTGAAAAGCAGAACCCACAACATAAAAACACTTTTAGCTCAAATGACTAAGATAAAAACACAAAAATTCCAAAATCAAAAAATACAGTCTGGAAATGAGTTTTTGTATTTACGAGTCTCAAATTACTAATATGGGAAGAAATCAGTCATAAAGAATTGCGCAATTAAAGTTTCGCAGAAGTGATAAAAAAATATTTGTTGCGTCTTTTTGCCAGTTTTATTGTGACTTTGTCTGAGGATTTATTAATGCAGGCAGAATTTGAAATTTGAGAGTTTAATAAGGTTTATTTTGGGTGTCAATTTATCAAAATAATTTTGGGGTTTTAAACATCACGTGTGAGATTGAAGCGATAGCTTATAATAATACAAAGTTGCTGACAAATAAAATTAAATGATTACGTTTTTTGGGGAACAGGGTTTGAATTTTTCTTTATGGACATGAAGGGACATGAGCAAGAAGAACGATTTTTTTTTCAAAATACCCTAGAACGTTTAAGAATTTTCTTGAAAAAGGGAATTTTACCCCCTTGGCTACGTCCTTGTGCGTCGTGACACAAAAATTTGGATAACTGATAGAAGGGCCCAGTGTATAGGGCTATCAAGCTCACTATGAATTTTATATAAATTCTATAAGGAGCCGTTCACTTATGACGGGGGGAGGGGTCCGCGAGAAAAGAACAATAGAAATTCCTGGAAATCCATTGCTTTTTTTGAAAAAATGTCCGTTAATATTGGACGTCATAAATGAACGACCCCGAATGTAAAACCGAATGTAATCAAAATTCATTGCTGCCAAAGGATGCCTTCGGTAAACCGATAGGTGAAAAAGGTGTGGTACAATAAATTCTGTTCTAATTTGAAACGCAGTGCCTCCAGCTGAAAGGCTGGGCCCTTCATACATAATTATTATTATTATTAAACCTAGAAACTAGGTTTATCTAGAATCTAGATTAAATAGAGAAATTATTTTTAATTACTAAGATCAGAATTACTAAAGGGAAGTTCACTTATGACGTCCGAGATTTAGAGGGGGGGGGGGGAAGAAGTTTCTAGAATTCAGTGACAGTTTTTCCTTATACATTTTATGACAGGGGACAGGAGGTTTAATCATGAATGTGGAACTGATCGTAATGATCAAAACTTGAATAATCTGTAAGGGGACATTCACTGATTCCATAACGCTTTTAGGGGAAGAAGGCTCTGAGATTTTGTGACAGTTCCCTTAAATATCAAACTCATAATAAATCTATAAATAAATTCATATTCATGCTACAAGCTATAATCTATATAAATAGATTTCAATGGATCGACTTGATCTGCGAAAAAAAAGTTATGCAGACACAATGTCATCTGAACAATTTCATAAAAGTTCTTCCATCCCACACTTATTGTGCAACATTCAACAATCTCTAGAAAAATATTCTCAATTCCTCAAGTCAATGGGAAGATGAAATTCCGCTCGAAATTCAAAAAAGAAATTCATTCCAAATAAGAATTCCTTCCCCTACAGTACTCCATTACATATTTGGTGCTGTTCTGAGAAAAATCAATAAATTTTCATATTATTTTATTAATATCGCAGATCAGTTCAGTCAATAATGCAGAAATATGCAAAATATTTCAATAAAAACTCCAGGAACTAAGGAGATAAAATGCAATTTTATTGACGGATGAATTCAAGCAAGTAAGAATGTCCGTTAAAGAATTTTTAAATTTAAAAAAAAAATCAGCTGCAGTAACTACATCAACTGCCATAAAAAAATCACGAAGCTATGAAAGCAATATTTTTTTATCGCACATAACTTATATGCTGTGCTGTACTTCACTTGCCTTTTATCGCCATTTTCTCACTTCACATCCAGCAAAAATAAAAAAAGTCTGCGACGCAATTTCAGATTCTCGAACATTTCATTCATGTTAACTTGAACATTATTTTCTGATTTTACAACAAACATTCTTTCCCCTCCTATTTCTTCTTCTTGCCTTTTTGAGCGACAATTTTATTGATTCTCACAAGAAATTTTCTCATTTTTTGCCTCTCTCAATGTATCAAGTAAGTCAAAATATATCAGGTAAAACAGCTCAGTGTCATTAAAATCGTGTCTTAACAAGTCATTTTGAGTATTTCGAGATGTTCGGTAATGTTTTCCTACGAAAATAATGATTGCGTTATACGTTCTACCCCCTGTGCTTAGTATTTTTGTTATTCGTTCGCATAGTCATGTTGAGGGGTAGTTTGCTACATACAAACTCTCTCTCCGCTACAAAGTAAAATATAGAGAACGAATTGGAGCATGGCAGTCGGACATGTTATATCAAAATAAGAGGATATTTGTGTTATAAGGATTGAAAAAAGCGTTGAGTAAGGTCATGTTCGTTGCAGTGTTTATAGTAGCAAAATAGGATTTTTTCAGTTAATACGAAAAACAAAAAAAATTGTGAATTTCGCAGTTAATTTGTGAATTAATTTTAGTGAAAAAAGTAATAAATTCATCATAAAAAATTGCTTTATTAAAAGCAACTACGGCAGGAATTAATAACAATTCGGATTTTTATCAAATTGTGAAAATGAAAACAAAATTGAAAGTTTTTCCACGACAAGATGGAATCTCATATCCACAAATTTATAGAAAATTTAAGGCAAAATCGCGAAATATTGATGAAATAGTGAATGAGGAGGAGTTTTATATTCAGGATTTAACGGAGAATTATTTTGATGATGCTGTCGATTTCATGATCGAGTATCATGCACGATCATCAATATTCCATCGTGCTGCTGGCACATTATTAAGTGACGATGGTGTCGAGCGTATTCGACAAATGTATAGAAAAGTATTTGAGGAAAATATTTCATTGATTTGCCTTAAGGCCGATACGAATGAGATAATTGGTGTTAATGCAATAACAATTAGATCAAAGGATGATGAACCCAGTGTACCTAGTGATGATCCTAAATTTCAAATATTGTATGATGCCAAAGAATTCATTGAACATGCTTTCAATATCATGGATTATTATGATGTTGATCGATTCATGTTTACGGCTGGTTTATGTGTTCATAAGAAGCATCGATGCAAAGGCATTGCAACTGAAATATTAAAGGCTAGAGCTCCATTGATGAAGACTATTGATGTTAACGTAACGGCTTCCATTTTCTCAACAATCGGTGCACAAAATGCGGCAACATCAGCTGGATTTACTCATCACTACTCTATTTTATACGAGGATTTAGAGAAACTATTTAATGGTATGAATTTTTCGCATGCCTATGGCAACAGCTGCAAACTATCAGCATTCAAAATATCTGATTAAATATCTCAAACTATCTCTCTATCTCTCTCGCGCTCTATTTCCTTATAAAAAATGAACAATTTTTTTACTATATTTAAATTACCTCCTTTTTGACATAAAAAAAATATCTCGCTGCCCCCCTCTCTATCTATCTTGATTGACATTCCTAGAATTTAAAAAAATATATTGAAATTATTCTTTTTTGGAAGAAAAAACAAAACATTTCAAATGTTTAAAAAGTATTTTAATTAATTAAACATTTAAACTTAATAATAAGTTTTTTTTGACCTTGAAAATTGAGAAAAAAAATCGTATTTTAAGAAGAATTAAATAAGAATTATTTTAATTAATGAATCATGACATATAAATATATATTAATGATGATAAGATTAACTCTCTTACACAACTTTTTGAACAAATATATTCCAATATATCTGTTGGGCGTATACACCGTTGGAAGTTTTTCTTGGAAATTCATTGGAATTAATGGGAAATTAGCATTAAAATGCATGAAATGTGTTGGAAATCTTTTTTTTATCGATTTTTATGTAAATGGGAACACAACGAAGTGCTTTTTAGTAAGAAGTTCGAGAGGCGATGACGAAACAAAACAAAAAAAAATCTTTAACGTATTTTTCAACTTTCTGTAGCGTGTTTGCTTTCTTCTTGTTCCTTTCATTTTCGTTTTTACTTCTTATGTATTGCAAGTGCTGCTACTGTTTACATCTGCTTGTTAATCCAAGCTATATATGTGTTCAGTTAATGGAAATCTGTTTATTTGAGTGGATAATTCTTAGGAGTTTGTCATTTTTTGGGAAGGTCTGCTAAGGTTTATGGACTAGGGTCAGGGTGTACCCGAATGATACAAGTCGGTTAATTGAATAGAAATCCGGCATCAAGCTGGAATAACTTTGGCATGGTGCTAGATTGAAATCGAAGCTTCAATAGTACCGCATAGAACTAAGCTATTGTCTAGGCTTCTAAAATTTGATGATTGTTGATTAAAACAACATTTTTTGAGCGTCTCGACCAAATGTTCAATGTCATCTCACAGTTTGCAGTTCAAGCTACTGATTGACTTTATAAAATGTAAATCTAGTAAAGAGCTATGTGTCCTATCGACACACATCCTTAAACATACTATTTTATCACGTAAAACTCTCAAAATCCTCATCCTACTCGACAAATCTCTACAAAAATCCCTTCTATCCTCAAAAATCAACCTCAAACCCTAGCAATACCCGCATAATCCCCACTTAACCCACTAACCATGCGCTAAATCTCAACACCACATCACATAACCTTGTCCTTGACCGGATGAAAAAGTAAACCATGAATGTATTGCCGCAGTAATATTAAGAAAAATCAATAGACTCGTTTCACACGTTCTGACTGCTTTCGTGAATATGACCAGCTAACAAATTCTTAAAAGAAACGCAGAACAGCAATATTGCAATCACGAAGAAAACAAAATTATATATTGCTTTCATTTCTCGAAGCATTCACACATGAGTCATTGATTTTTTTCTTTCTTTCTCTTCCTGCTTATAGAAATTAGAAATGATTTGTTGAGTAAGTATTGTTAGCCTATGGTTGGCATAGGGCGAAAGTGTTGCTATGGTTTTGTGAAATGTGATTTTAAGGTTTTTTGAATAAACACGTGGATTTATTTGAATGTTGGATGATATGGGAAATATCAATAGATTTTAGGGATGATGAAAACTGAATTTTTAAGGCAGTCTAAGACCAATTAACTAGGGCTACTTTAAAAGCTATTGAATATATATTTAGACAAAATATCATGCCTAGTTCTTAAGATATACCCGTGCGATACAAAATAGTCATTGGAATTTTAATGGTATGAATGTGGTAGTGTACTAATTAGGATTTTAGCTGTGCTCTTGCTGTGGTTCAAAACATTTAAGGAAGCGGAGGAGGGGGGGGGGGGGGGGTCCAGACCCTCCTGGCTATGCCTCTGTTATCCTTAAATAATAATATAACTCAGCAAACCTTATAACTCTGAGTACCTTAGTTTATAACCTCATACTTAAGTAAGCTAAAGGTTAAGCATCCACTGATCTTAAGTAAAGTAATGTGCAATCAATTAATTGCAATTACGAACACCTAGAATTGGGTTAAAAACCAGACAAACAGACAACCAGAACTACATTGAGTATTAAACTGCACCCTCCAAATGACTTACCTTAAAAGCTTAAGTCGGATAATCGAGACGAAATCGTACGCTAAGACGACGCTGGGACAAATTAAGCATTTTGTCTCTATTATCCGACATGTGCTACTCGGGCTACCTACTTAAAATAAACAGATTTGCATATGCCTTCAAGTTGAAAATTGCGCATTAATTACAAAAATAATCAGACTCCTAATTCGAACGTTTACAACATGGAAATAGATCCACAAATTCAATTAAATTGGCCCCCAAAAAAAAAATATCAAAATAAACTCAAAAATTATCAACCAAAATTGTGATATTTGCAAGCATTTCTGAACAAAAATTGAAGATAAAATTAAACATTCCTTTATGATTCAGAAATGCTGACCTTAAGTACTCCATTTTTAAGAATGCTATGATCAGCTATGATTAATTCTCCCAAAAAAACAAGTTAAACGATGTATTATATTTCGAGAGAAAAATATGAGAAACATATTGGAATTTCCAATTACTTAATGACTTCCACTTAAAAAAGAAAAGAAAAAAATCTTAATGTTAATTTTTAAGATCGAGATTCATCATGCTGAGATGTTGATCGAGTTCTAGGTGAAAAAAAAAATATTAGAAATTTCTTGATCATTGATGTTGATCGAGAGGGGAAAACTTGGTGGAAAGAAGATCGGTAAAAACTTTTAAGAACTTTGACAAAAATGAAAGTAAGAAGAAAATTTTATTTTTATAAAATTTGACGAAAAAAAAAAGTTCAACAAATTAATTTTTTACACCCTAAAAGCCTTAATTTTTATGTAATTTTTCTGCCAAGTTGTCCTTCCCTTGGTGCTAATAAAATTATTTTCGAAAATCATTCTCATCGTGATCAAGGAATTTCGATTGACTTAGGATGACAAAAAAAGCTAACTTGTGATGAAATTTTTTGCACAAAAAATAGAGAATTTTTCTATGCACTTTATACTTTACCTATTATACTTGAGACATTAGCTAGACGTAGGGAATAAATGTATTTTCATTGTTCAGGAGAAAAAATAAGGAATTTTTAATTCAGGATAATTTTTAAGCAATGATGAACGTTTCAAGAAATGTACAAACTTTTTTTGATACATGACAGGATTTTTTATCAAATTTTTAGAATTTTACAAATTTTTAGGGGAACATCAGTAGTTAGGGAATCTATGGGGTTTTAAACGGAAACTTCGAGTGATATTGTCGGTTTCTAGAGTGATGGATTGGACAATTGGATTAAATTTTAAGGTTGTAAAATTCCAAAACAATTATCAATTTTTGGGCAATGTCTTCAAAAAGAATTTAAAAATTTGAACCATTACGTGATCCTAGTTAAGACAAAGATTCTCCTCAGAAAAATGTTCAAAATTCTGAATTTCTAAAATAAATTTGTGTTGAGTCTGAATTTTGACCCTAGTAGATCTAATGAAGGAAGTTTAGAGGAAAAATATTATTGAATGCTCAAAATTTACCAGATTTGAAAGATTTTCTAGAAGATTTTTGCTAAAATCAAAAGAACGTACTTTAAATTAAGTTAATCGCAAGATTATGAGAAAAATATCCGTTATTTTTTAAGAAATTTTAAATTTCTCGCACTTTTTCACGAGTTTGTTTACAAAACCCAAAATCTATCTTCGAAAACATTTGAAATTAAATGTTTCTCTTTAATGATCGATTTTTAATAAGCTAATATGACTTTAATAGCATTATTTGAACTCTAGTAAACACTAAAACTATTTAAAAAGCTGAAACATGCGATGTAAAGTCAAAATAAGAGGAATTAGATTTCAATTTAAATGTAAACAAATCATTTTCGAACACAAATTGAATGATTTCGAAAAATGAGGTACCGCGTTAGAAATTGAGCTACTTTGAGGTTATTCTGATCTTAAAGGATTTCATATAATTAATCTCAAGGTTCTATAGGCAACCAACTTCTAGATGATCAAATCTGGCAATTTTTCCTTATAACTTAAGCAGGACTAGTTAAAAGCAGCTACTAAGTTAGGATATTAACGTTCAAAACAGTTTTTCAATGCAAACCTAGTCAAAGCATATTGAAAAATTCCTCAAGAAATCAAGATGTACTTAAAATATCGCCCAAAAACCACAAAAAAGAAAAATCTCTTCTTCATTTGTCTTCCAAAAGTTGAGTAGATAAAAACCTATTTATAAAATAATCCAATCTCCATGCTCAATGAAACCGATGAAAATTCATAGTGAGATAAAAACTGTAGATGAGTAAAATGAATAAGGGCTTGACATATATGGGCAAATAGTCAGTAATCTTAAAAATAATTATCCAAGAGAACTTCCAGTCAACGGTATACGCCTAAAAATCCACAAAAATTTAAATTCAAATATTTTTCTTGTAATGTAATTTGATTCCTTTTGCTAAACAAAGGCTTAAAAATGAATTTAAATTTAATATTCTTAAAAATTGGGAATTAAATGCATTACAAAATTTAAAAAAAAATCCTCAAAAATTCCACTTATATATTCTATATAAAGTATGTACTTAAAATTGAGATAAAAAAATCCCAAAAAAATGATTAAAAACAGCTCTTGATTCTTTAAACTCTTTACCTCATATATTAAAGCTATAAAAACAAAAAAAATAATAATAATATTAAAAATAGTAAGCACACAATAGCAATTGAAACAAAAATATAACTTAAATAATGTAGTGAATAACATAAGCACATGTGCTTCTTTGTCGTCGTTGTGAAGTTGATAAGATTCGTTGAACTTGATTTTGTTTTAGACTTAATTTTAGAATTTTTAAATATTCAGACATAATAAATTCAAATGTTTCCTTGAAAATTAAACGTGATAAGCTCATGCTGCGATTGAAATAGAACTTGTTTAAGAAGCACGAGACTGATACGCATGAGATTATGAAATCATTTTGTTTCCGGGTTCATTTTTCTGAACTTTTTGTCATAAAAATGGTAATTTATTGATCTTGAAATGTTCCTAATCTTGAATATTGAGCAATCTGCATACATTTCGTAATATTTAATAGGCTATTCAGTATATATGAATAATTTGATGGCTATAGACTATATTTTTGGGAACTTAATGGCTTAAGACTATAATTTTGAGAA